TTTTTTTTTTTCCCCCCCCCCCCCCCCCCATATAAAAGCAGTTCATTGTGCATTGGTACCTGTTTGAAGGAGAAGACCCTATTCACCTTCTGGAGTCAACGCATGCCAGTAAGTGTGACTCCACCAACTTTAGCATTGCTGTGTAGAAAAGTTTTCGTACACAGGGAAGCAAAACTAATGGATGGTATAGTGCCAGCTGCAGGACAGCTACAGCGTGCATTAAATGCTTGAATGTTTCCTGCTGGATCTGAAATCATTTCCTGCTTGTTCAAGAATCATAGGAAGGTGGCTACTCTGCTTTAATAGAAATGCATATATTGTGCTGGATTTGGGCAAATGTTCACTGATTTGCAGAAGCGAGTCCATTTCTTAAGTGAGGAGGAAGGAAGAAGTCCCATCCTCCCTTCCCAATAAGCAGCCAGTCCCCTTCTTTCTGACTTTTGTGAGCCCAGATTAAATGTTTTCAATTCTCTTCTATACAGAAAGTTGTGGCGGTTTCACACTGTTGGTATAGTTAAAATTTACAGTCTCTCCTGATGAAGTGCTAGGTTAAATGAAATTATTAGTTTATATGCAGAGATCAAATGTGTCTACACAGGGCTTTAATGTTACAGTTATTCTGGTTTAAAAAAAAACCAAACAAACCAGCCAAAATGAACCCCAACAAAACCCCCGTAGCCTAATCAAGTTAGTTGTACAGGTTTGGGGAAAGAAAAAAATTAAAACCCAACGATGCAGCTTCTCCGCTAGGTAAAAGCCTCTGCGGGACCATTCTGCCCAGGCAGAATTGCTTCCCATAACCGAGACACAGGTTTTACTTGCAGGGAACGGAGCAAGCCGGCGAAGTCTGGCGTGCCGTGGTGACACCGGTACCCGTTTCGTACCCCATCCCGATGCCCGTCCTGCGGCACCCGCGTCCCTGCCTGGCTCCCGCGGCTGAGAAAACCTGAGGGCCGCTCGCTTTTCCAGCCTGCGTGCGATCGTACCAGATCCTCCACCGCCGCTGACCCGGTAGGGTTACAAAGGGTCTCATCGCTTTATTTATTTCTTTTTCTGTTCACATTTAATACCACAGACACAGCCAAGATTTGAAACACGGAACATGACGCTAGGCGTGCGATCGGTTCATTTACACAGACGCGTTATTAGTGAGCTCGCATCCTTACAATCTTTTCGAGATTCCCAAGTTTCTTGTTTCCCTGAGTTGCGTGACGTCTGCCATCAGATCTGTTCGTCGGTCAATGAGCGAGAGACCAAAACGGATGACGAGGCGGACGAGGTTAGAGACGGAATGGGAGATGATGATCCTATAGCGCTACCGCTCGTTTGTCCCTTAATTTGGCGTGGGGAGCGAGACGGGCTCGGGTGCCACGAGGAGCAGCGCTCGGCCGCCTGGCCCTAGCAAAGCCCGGGATGACATAAAAGACACGGTATATACAGAAGAGGCCAAATTCTCTTTTGAGTTATGCCTGGGCAGCACCGTCAGCTGAAGGTGGAACAGGCGGAAAATGGCCCATCAGCGTTAATAGGAGTTTGAGGACGGTAGGACTTTTGCGAACAGACAATTCATTATGGAGAATCCGTTGTGGACCAGCTGGTAATAAATACTAGAATAAAATAAATATAAAGCTGCTATTGCACATGCATGCTCCGAAGCTCTGTTAGCCGGGCCACAAAATCTACATGTTGGTGTGACAGTAGGTGCAATGTAAGACATACTTACTCGCGTAAAGGATGGAAAGCTTTCTGGTTTGCCTTTTAACGGCATACTTGAGTTATAAAAATCAATTGAATTTAAGATTTTTATGGATCAAGTATGAGAATGTGCCTGCCTGTGTCTTCTAATACAGATTTTTCTATTACTTTGTCAGGTCACATTGGTTAAAAAACATTCTCAACTGAATACTGCAGCAAACTAGTACAGCCGCACACTGGTTTTTATGGGGCGACATGGTACTGGTAACCAGCTGATGTGCTTTAAACAGAAACAAGCAGTGGTTTACAGGCAGGAGACCCATCCTCGGCAAATTTTGGGGGTACGGTGGTGCGCAGCATAGGGACAGGTAGCCACGGACTCGTTACAAATATCAAAACAACAAAAAGCTTCCAAGTTCAAACACATCAAGTCGTTCACAGTCAAGCTGAACAGAACAAGTACAGATGATGTGGCTAGTAAAGAAAAAATATGACTTTGGTGGGAGATTGTATTCCATATTTTTATAGCATCACTGCAGTCCTGAAGTCAGCACTGTCCTTGTCCCGCTGATATATCTTTAAAAAAATACTTCAGTACAGTCATGTTCGAAGCCCCTTCTGTGAAGGTATTTTTTTTCATTTCCTTTCTACTCGGACATGACATGAAGGTAGTTTATTTTTAGCATGTTTAAAAATTATCTGTTTTCTTTCTCCTTTTCTTTTTTAAGAAATCACTTTTCCTCATTCAGAGAAAAATGTTAGTTTATTTAAAAATCAGGATATGAAAAGTGTATCAAATTCTATGTTCACTACTCCGAAAAGGCAATTCAATTTTCTTTCTCTAGGGTCTGGTTATATGCTAACAAAACTCTTAGCAAAACTGAAGTCAACGCTGGAAAAATTCGGCTCGAATTAGCTGCTATTGAAGTCACACGAACTCGCAAGTGAACTGGGCTACATTTGCCTGTTAAGATGGTAAAGTCTAGCTCTCCTGCTAAAGTCAGTGCTAAAAAATCACAGGGGCAAAAGCAGCAGAGAAATAACACTTGAGTGTTGCCAAATTCTGTGACCGTGTCTCTCCTCCTATAGTCTCAAAGTTTAGTTGGGTTTTTTCTTCTTTTTAAATCTTTAACTGCCTACATAACATCTTTCAGCAAATCCAGATGATGACAAAAGTACAGCTTTAACGTTTCAATTTGTATTTCTTGCCCTCTCTCTCTTTCGTTATGGCTTTCTGGGAATTCCGGGAAATGATGCTCTGGCGCTGGAAATCGCGTGTCATGTAGTAACGCTGGGTTCTGTCCAAACGCGCAAACTTTCTTGCTTTGTGCTGGAGAGTCTTTTCTTTGGAAGGGGTTTGAGTCCAAACAGCTGGCAAGCGGCGACTCGGTACTTCTTGGACATGATGTTGTAGAGGATGGGGTTGATGGCTGCGCTAAGGTAGAAGAGGACAAAGGACACCAGGTTGCAGTACTGGCTGATCACTGCTATCTCCAAGGATCCAGCTTCAAAGGATTTGGAAAATAAATATCGTCCTACGTGAAAAGGCAACCAGCAGAGTATGAAAGCAAATACCACCACAACTAAAATAAAAACAGCAGAAGAAATTGTGTTAAGTGTGAGTATTAAAATATGGGTGATTAAATTTCTATTTCTTTAACAAGTTAATCACAAAGTGTGAAAATGCCTCCCGTAAGTTTTCAGGTTTGTGTCCCTCCATACATTCTCTGAGAGCATAAATTAGCAAGACTTAATACACATCGATCGTATCTAAACAGGCTGCCTGTGTATTGCACAACTAATCTGATGTAGCATACTTCTGACCTATAACACTTATGTTTTCATAAATAGAGAATTAAAGAATCAAAATGGTGACAAAACCAGTATAGCAATCTATCATCTGCAGCGTTTAACAATAGCAAATTAATACATAATGTGATAGACTCAGCACTGTGGTTTATAATGAAGACTGTAATCACTGGGAAGCAAAATTATTTAAGGCAAAGCAGAATTATTTAAGGCAAAGGAAAATTATTTATGGCAAAGGCCCCAAAATGAAACAAACCACCAGTGTGTGGACTTGCAGAGCACATGTGCCAAGGTAAGAACAGAAGAGTGGTGCACCCCTCCAGGTGGTCCATTTTTTGGAGCGTGAGTTACTCCAAGTAGAGTAAAACTAAATATAGACTATATAACTGCATAATTACAGTTGCATAGTTTATCTGTAATATTACACTATCGCTGTGGTTGCATTTATATGTAAATATAATATATGCAGAGTAATAGGAATGTGTGTGTCTCTGAACATTTCCATCCTAGAGAAAGGGAAACTTTTTCTGTTCATTTCCTGTGTGCTGTTGACCTTTATGATTTTTCATATTGCTTTGAGTGTATCTATTAATATACCAGAGTGAGAAAAACCAGAAAACTCGAGGGAGGTTTTTCGACATTCTTAAGCATTTTTTACCAGTTAACCTGTTCTCTTGTGTTAGCAATCCTGCTTGCTCGTGTTAAGTCACAGGAGATAAAAAATTCAAAGAGCTAGGAGGGATGATTGTCAGACTGAGAACAGGCATTCTCAAGTTTAAACGGATACTTATACAAGACTTATGGTGGACCCTGAAGCACAGAGCTGAAATTCAGAGTATCTGTTTTCCAGCTCTGCATCTTCTTGAGCCATTCCTTTTTTTCCGCAGTATCTTCACCTATAAAATTCAGATAATGTTTCCCTAGCTCACCAGTGTGCTCTGGAGTTTAATCCATATGCTGAATATTATCATAATGGTCATTACAAACAGAATTTTAAGCATAGTCAGTATTTTCACATGTGGGCATGCATATCCCTAGTCAGGCTTTCGACAGTTTGATCATGACGCATGCAGAATCACATTGATTTCAACAGGAATGGGGTATGATCGTTCCTTCACAAGTCAGGCTGTACAGTTAGATGTTTAATTACGGACCTAGAAGCATAACCTTTCGCTACGATTTAAAACAAGTGTCGATGCTAATCCCATTTACTTGATGTTCCATGACTTGCTAAAGTCTTACAAAGTGCCTTCTAAATTTTCAGCAGAACATTAAAACCACTGAGAGCAGACTGCATTGAGCATCTGCTGGTACTGAGCCCTTACTAACTACTTTGTTTCCATCTTTCCATCAGATATCAGGCTGTTATCATTTAAAGAATATTGGCTCTTGCCACTGTCTTGCTGTTCTCAGACCTCGTAAAAAAAAAAAAAAAAGGTGTCTGAAATATCGTAATGTTTGTGGCAATACTTCAGGGCAGAAATAAACAGTTATTTCAAAATGATTTACAGGTAAGTATACAGAAATATAAACACGGTAGTAATATATGGCAGCAATTTACTTATTGTAAGTAGAGAGTCATAATCCTGAAACTCTCGAAGTGTAAATGAAGAATTACTTCCAAGGTCACGCTTACCAGACTGAAGTAATTCTATTGATGATAAAATGTAGCTGAAAGGGCACAAAGAACGCTGCGGGTTTTATTATTCTCCCTGCCCTTGCATAGTAATAAAGTAGGACATGAACAAAAAAATCAGTTAGGCTCCCATGTAATAATTAGGGTACCTAGGACACACTGCCACCTCTTTGTCGAGCTCATTAGCCCATCCCTTCGACCTAGCTGAAACGAGCACGGCAGAGCTGCCGCCCGTGAAACCTTCATGCAAAGCATCTCGTCCCCCCTGAAATCCACGGGATGACTTGCACTGCGGAGGACTTTTTTGCTTGACTAAAAGTGCGCAGCAGCAGGATTCTGCAGTTTTCAGCCACTAAACTGCAGACCGACTCTTCGGGTTTGTGTATCAAACTCCCACCACGTGCACTGACTTAGTATGTTAAAATATGTGTTTCTGAGTGCCAACAATAGCTGTTGTTTAAACGATTCAGCGATGTAAATATACAGAGTTAGGAATGACAGCATCTGTCATCTTGATCCTGTTTTCTTAAAGGCAGTGAGAATTTACAGGATCGCAGACCTCAAAGGAGACACGATGCTCCCTGTTCAGCACATCCTGGTGTTTTGCTAATATAAAAATGCAGATTAATTTTCATAAGCTTACACGGCCATGCTAGTAAATCACCCCAATTTGCTAAAACCTTGATGCTCTTTTCACATGAAGCCAAGTGCACATCATATGCTGCTTGCTTAGTCTGCAGCTCAACTTTGTGGTTTGAGAGGAGTTCAGTTTTGTTTAAAACTCAAATAAACTATCCTTCTGTAAATAAGACCGGCACCCACAACCGAAGAGCAAAAACGTTCGAAAATCTCCAGGGCACTAGCTAATTGTAACCATAGTTTTCGTCCTTGTCGGTGATTGTTATTAACACTTGTTTACCTGAGCTCAAAACAATTAGAAATAAACCCGAGGAAGGAGGGGAGTTATTCTAGGAATACCTGGTGGTGTAGCCCTTCGTATGAATCGTTTTCGGTAAATGCTTCCCTTCGGAAGGAACTCTAGTGAACTACCCGAGCTCTTTCGGTCTTTCTCACGCACAAACACCCACGCAAGCACACACATCCTTTGGAAAAAACGAGCAAGAAGAGCCGTACCTAACATTTTCACGGTTTGCTTGTTGTTCTTATCCCTGATAAGAGCGTTTGGACCGATGTTCTTTCTCTTTCTCCTCCAGAGCTTCCTCCCGATGAGGCTGTACAGCACGGTCAGGCAAAACACGGGCAGGAAGAAGAAGACGCTGGAGGTCCAGACCATGATGGTGAGGAGCCCCGAGCGGACGGCGTACTCCGTGGCTCGGCACTCGTTGGTGCTCAGGGGGTTCGTGCCGTTCTCGTGCTCGACCCCCACCAAGACGAAGATGGGTCCGGCGCTGATGAAGGAGACGGCCCAGAGGAAGAGGATGACCAGCTTGACCTTCCCCTTGGTGATGATGACTTTAGCTCGGAGGGGGAAGCAGATGGCGACGTACCGCTCCACGCTGAGGGCGGTGATGTTGAGGATGGTGGAGTAGGTGCAGCTCTCGCTGACGAACTGGAAGAGCTTGCAGAGGAGGTCCCCGAAGTTCCAGGGCCGGTACTGCCAGAGGCGAAAGAGGTCCAGGGGCATGCAGAGGAAGATGAGCAGGTCGGAGAAGGCCATGCTGGACAGGTAGAAGTTGGTGGTGGTCCTCATGTCCCGAAACCTCGACACCACCACCACGGTCAGGAGGTTGCCGACGATCCCCACGACGAAGAGGAGGACGCAGGCGACGGTGATGCCGGTGAGCACGGCCGCGGGGAAAAGCCGCAGCGGCCCCTCGGTCCCCGTCCCGTTCTCGGCTCCGCGCCCACCCGCGCTCCCCTCCCGCATCCTTCCCCGCCCGCGG